AAAATGACACAAATACAGTCCATCTGATGTTCTTACAGACATTTACTCACCCAAACGCATTTCCCTTACAGATAGCATTGGTATAAAACAAATAAGGTGATTACATGTGTTTTAAAGTTGACCTAACAATTTAATGTTCTCTTACTGCTTTATTTCGTCTTCACGAGTCTGCCCGCCGGTCTGTCAGTGCACTGCAGGAGGAAAATACTGGTTAGCACAGCTTTACTAGGAAAGTGAGCAAGTAACATTAAAATAATTCATACAAGACGATGAAGAAAAGTGTATAGATGAAACTTAAACCTGGCTTTATATCGCGCAAATAACATCAGCATACAACGCATCAAGCGATAAAAGAGTCAGAAATGAAAATTAACCTGCCATACTCTAGTGGTTTTTCATCTTCAGGAGTCTTTCACAGAGCCGGTGCCGAGGAGGTGTGTGCTTGTTTTTCGCAGTTATTAGCACTACTGTTTTTAGATTGACTAAATATAGTAGGCAAATATTTTTTCAAAATGCACTGACAATCTAAACCTGAGAAACAGTAATAAAAGTTTTACTAAGTTTTAATAAAATGATTTACAGTGACGCTGTTTGCTAGCTAGTATGCTGACGTTATCGTTAGCCAGCTAGATGGCGCTGGTGCTGCCAACTCGAAATCTGATTGGTTAAAGCAACGGTTTCATTGCCATTGGTTTAGGCTAACAGACGCCTGCACTGTTGATTCTGAAGGCCTTAAGGCAGATTTCTTTGACCCTGGCAACACGATTGCTGAAATATGATTAGATAAAAGCTCTAATATAAACATACACTGCTGGAAGCAGTGCAACAAAGAGAAAAGCTATTGAAGAGAATAGACTATTGGAAATAATTTAATACACATTCATGGAAAAATATATTAAAACTAAATCTGATTCTGATAGTGTTTAGGCCAGCAGAGAAGGCTTTGCTGGCCCTGACGGCCCACCACTGTTAAATGCAAACACTTTTGATAAGCACAAGTTCTATATAATGCATACAGCATCTGGTTGTGCCACACTTCTAACCTTCATGGCTCACTGAGCAGGCAACTGTTAAAAAGTCCTCAGAATGGAATGTCTTTGTGAAAAACAAGTTACTATTTAAAACATTAAGCAAAAAACAATACTGAAGTAGTCGAGTATGTCTGAATCTCCATTACATGTACACTACATTTAATATTGACTACGTTTTTTCTTATGTGATGGCAGATGAATGTAATGATGGCTACCATGTTGTACTGAAGTGACCTGAGACTACTGGAGCATTGCAGGTGCCTTTGGCTGATTTTCACAATACTGGACTGTTTCTAAGTTAAATATCACCTGGTGGAATGTGAGCTGAATGAATGTGGATCATTTTTGTATGATGTAGATGACCGTTATGTATTTTAAAGAGAGAATGTTGCGAAAAGGTTTTCTGGAAACTAATTCAAATATTAATTATTTTATATTTTGTTCAGTTTATACATTTCTGTTTTAAAGTAATTATTTTTTTTATCACATTACAGTGGTATTGTAGCATTCTTTTTTTCAAACCTTTTTTTCTTTTGTTTTATTATTAGATACGAAATAGCAAATGCATGTTTCACTGTGCAGATTTAGATATCTAAATAAAGTTATTGCTCAGGATGTTTTTTATTGTAATGCATTACTTTTAAAAGTAACTTTCCCCAACACTGCACCTGTTTATATTAGTGATGTTAGGTTCTTGAACGAATCGTTCTTTTGCGCTGGTTCTCAGGAAGGAACCGGTCGAGCCGGTTCACAAATCGAACTGAATCGAACTTTAGCCGAAGTTGCACGTCCAACTCAAAAAGAACCGAATGAGCCGGTTCAACCAACTGTCGAAGTTTGCCGAGGACTCAACAAGAACCGAATGAGCCGTGGCGAAGTTTGCCGAGGATTACCGAGGACTCAACAAGAACCGAATGAGCCGTGGCGAAGTTTGCCGAGGATTACCGAGGACTCAACAAGAACCGAATGAGCCGTGGCGAAGTTTGCCGAGGATTACCGAGGACTCAACAAGAACCGAATGAGCCGTGGCGAAGTTTGCCGAGGATTACCGAGGACTCAACAAGAACCGAATGAGCCGTGGCGAAGTTTGCCGAGGATTACCGAGGACTCAACAAGAACCGAATGAGCCGTGGCGAAGTTTGCCGAGGATTACCGAGGACTCAACAAGAACCGAATGAGCCGTGGCGAAGTTTGCCGAGGATTACCGAGGACTCAACAAGAACCGAATGAGCCGTGGCGAAGTTTGCCGAGGATTACCGAAGATTCTGATGAGTGAGTTGACGATACTGTGCAAGCCTGAGGCGCGTACTGGAAATATGCTTGTTTATTATGACTGTTATTAATTTACATTTGATTAAAACCTGCAAAAACCTTTCTGTCGAGTGATGTAAATACATTTTACAATAGTTTATTGTGCATGCATATTATATTTAAAGTTGCTTAAGCGAAATCAAGGAGTATATAATAAGACTATTCTTTATACTGTAGACATGTAGAACATATCCGCGTTTGTGCATCAATGTCTGTAATGTGTGCTGTAGCTGCGAAACTTTTAGGAATCTTATCCAAGCTGTAGGCTAGTCAATATTGGTCAGTCAGTCGCATCTGAGGATCCGCGAATACAACTAACAACAAACACCATTAATAATAATGCAATAATCAGCGATATGCTTTCACACAAATAACTTTATTTTTGAATGTTTCAATATGCGTTGACACAAATGACTTGTTTGAATTTTTCATTGATACAACATGCCACTGAGTTGTTAGAAAATAATTGCGTAGTAGAGACGTATTTGCGAATAGAGAAGTTATTGCTTGATTAATCGGCGTTTTGAACCGGTTCAATGAGCCGATCTGTCCGAAAAGTACCGGTTCGAGGAAATTAATATTAGTTATTTAAGTTTTTAATTTTATTTTACTTAGGTCTTGTATACATTTACGTATTTTTAGTCACTTTGCATCTTGTTTTAATATTTTAGTACAGAAGCGTTTCCAACCACACGTGCGTAATTAAAATCAAAACCAAATATACACGGTGTTATTGAAATCGACTGAAACCTGACTGAAACCAACGATGCCAAGTATTTTTTTTAAAGGTCTTTAATATTTTCAGTCAGGCATAGTGAGTGTCAGTCAGCTGAGCGAAGGACCCCACGCAGCACGCTCACACGTGTTTGTCGACAGCCATGGCGGACATACAGATGAAGATTCTCCGCAAGAAAATTCAGAAGAGAAATGATAAAAATAAACAACGCAAATTGCTCCGAGCTCAGAAGGAAGAAGAAGAAGAAAACGGCGGAGGTGATTTGTCTATTTTCTCTGTGATGTATAATGAATTCAGATGTTATCTCGGATTCAGCATGTGATAATCACACTGCTCTTGCTGCATTCCTAAAGTTTAGTCTTACCCATGCACTATTCTAGTCAGTTGTATTTAACCTAGCAATATGAAATATAGGTTTAATTAAATCATAATTATAATGTTGTTAATGTGTTATTGAGTATTTGTCTCGAGGAACATGTTACCAATACGTACCTTCCATGCATTATCTGACTCCCCTCATATTGCGTGTGCGTCGGAGTTGATGAAATGTGCTGCATGTGTTTGCGATCTGGCAGAGCTGAAGGCTGTGCTGGAGGAATCTGAAGTGACCAGTGGTCCTGCTCCAAACGTCACTGAAGAGCAGCAGCATAGCGTCTCCACTGAGGACAACGAAACCTCACAGAAAATCAAGAAGAAGAAAAGAAAATGGGATGGCACAGGGGACTCAACATCTAGTAAGTATGAAATATTGCTGTGAATATGTTGTTTAATTAGTGGTTGGTCAGTATGGGATTGTCATTGGCTAATATTTGTAACTGGAGAGGAGACTGCAGTATATGCAATTTAATTATAGCATTTGAGATAATGGATCTGGTCCTTTAGGTGTGAAAAAGGTCAAAAAGCAGGTTAAAGTTAAAGAGACAACAGAAGAAGAGCAACAGAGGGATGAAAAACAGGAGGAGGAATGTGAAGAGGTGCCAGAGAATGGAAATGATGACAAAGAGGGTTCAGCTGAGGAGGATGATAGTGATGAAGATGGACCGCAGCTTCCTTCTGGTCTGACAGGTAAATATGGCACAGATGGCACAACCTGTAATCTGTTAAGCACAGTCTGCGATGAGTCATAATTTGAGCTTGCTTTAGTTTGTCTAGTTATCTAATCAATTTGGCTTTTTTTTTTGACCAATACATAAATAAAAAAGGCTATATATATATATATGTGTAATTCAGAGACAAAATTAGCGATGCATGTTTCATTACTAGTAAAATAAGTAGTATAGTAATGTAAATTCACTAAAGTTTCTTTTTAGTTAGCTGGTGATAAAAAGCATTGTCTTTGCTTTGTTTGAAATGCAAAATAACCTTTTTTTTTTTTTTTTATAAAAATAAACAATTAAGTTTTTGACAAATGAAATAAAGAATACTGTACAGTAGGGCTGTGCAATTAATCGCATGCGACTGTCATGCGCATCTCGTCAGTAAAGCCGGTTCTGTGATTAGTAGTAAATCTCCAGCACCTGCTTTCAGATTGAGCGGCATTCACCAAACAGAGCCGTAGTTCACTAACAATTAGGCAATATCGCGTTCATAATCGCAGATGAATCTCATTCGATTATGAACGCGATATCACCTAGCTTGTCAGTGAACTACGGCTCGGTGTAGTAAATGCCGCTCCATCTGAAAGCAGGTGATGGAGATTTACTACTAATCACAGAACCGGCTTTACTGACGAGATGCGCATGACAGTCGCATGCGATTAATTGCACAGCCCTACTGTACATACAATTGAACAACAATATAAGAGATGCATGTTTTATTACTAATAAAATAAGATAATTTAATTGTAAATTTACAGAAGCTTCTTTTATTTAGTTAACTGGTAAAGAACAGTTTTATTTTTTGCTTTATTTGAAACACAAAATAATCTTTTGAAATGTTTTTCTTTCTAAAAAAGAAATCAATTTATTAGACTTGTATTTCTTGGATAAAGATAAATTAAAAAGTACTGTTTATAAGTAATTGAGCGACAAAAATAGAGGGATGATTTATTACTATTAAAATAAATGATAAAGATACATTTTAATTTCACAGATGCTTTTTTATATTCAGTTGGCTGGTGAAGAACAAACAATTCTGATTTTTAATAAGTTTATTGGACATTTATTAAAATGTTTCTCATAGACATGATTAGATAACTATGATTTGTTTTCCTCACTGGTGACTTTCTCAGGTGCATTTGAGGACAAGTCATTTGCATCTTTGGTGGAAGTGGTCAGTGAGAATACACTGAAGGGAGTGAAGGAAATGGACTTTGAAACCATGACTGAGATCCAGCACAAGACCATACGACCTCTGCTGGAAGGAAGGTCAGTTTGCGGTGCATCAGACATTGCAGGGTTTCAGTGGCACTGTAATCATCACATTTGTTGTATTCATGTTTGGAATGTGTGCTCATTCTTATCCAATAGAGACGTGTTGGCTGCAGCTAAAACAGGAAGCGGTAAAACTCTAGCTTTCCTGATTCCTGCCATAGAGCTTATCTACAAACTCAAATTTATGCCCAGAAATGGTGAGTGTATTGGCATTCTCTGATTGTTATAGTCCTATTCATAGCGGAGATGTCAGTCAAACCCGTAAGTATGACCTTAGAGGTGTGTCATGACTGTGGTGTGTGTGTGTGTCAGGGACTGGAGTGGTCATTTTGTCCCCCACTCGTGAGTTAGCCATGCAGACGTATGGTGTGCTAAAGGAGCTGATGACTCATCATGTGCACACGTACGGCCTCATCATGGGCGGCAGCAACCGTTCTGCTGAAGCCCAGAAACTCGCCAATGGAGTCAATATCTTGGTTGCTACACCTGGCAGACTTCTCGATCACCTGCAGGTATGGCCTTTTACAATCAACCGCTTTGCCACATGGGTCTGTGGAGTGTACCTGACCTCTTTTTCTTTCCACAGAACACACCCGGGTTTATGTTTAAGAACCTTCAGTGTCTGATCATTGACGAGGCTGACAGGATTCTGGAGGTTGGCTTTGAGGAAGAGCTGAAGCAGATCATCAAACTTCTGCCTAGTAAGAGCCAATGACTAACCTGATCACTCTGACATCACTTCCTTAAACCAGGGTTCCTGCAGGTCCTTAAATGTTTCTCTTTCTTTCCAGAAAAAAGACAGACCATGTTATTTTCCGCAACACAGACACGTAAGGTGGAGGATCTTGCACGAATCTCCCTCAAGAAGGAGCCGCTGTATGTGGGGGTGGATGACAACAAAGACACGGCCACCGTGGAAGGACTAGAACAGGTAAACTGCTCACCTGTCCCACTGCTTTATCGAAGCTGGCATGGCGTTAAACACAAACAAACAAACTCACTCCTTTATCAGTACCAGTTGGCCATGTGTAATATCATATTTGAGTTTTGGTTTGTGTTGTATTTAGGGATATGTTGTATGTCCTTCGGAAAAACGCTTCCTGCTGCTCTTCACGTTTCTGAAGAAGAACTGTAAGAAAAAGCTGATGGTGTTCTTCTCGTCTTGCATGTCTGTGAAGTACCACTATGAGCTGCTCAATTACATTGATCTGCCTGTCATGGCCATTCACGTGAGTCACTGAGCGTTACGCACACAGCGCGAGATCAGAAGTGCGATTTAAGCAGTGTGATGAATGCTTTTGTTTTCACGGACTTTCAGGGGAAGCAGAAACAGACGAAGAGAACTACAACGTTTTTCCAGTTCTGTAACGCAGACTCTGGCATTCTCCTCTGTACGGATGTGGCTGCCAGAGGTCTCGATATCCCAGAAGTGGACTGGATTGTTCAGTATGACCCACCTGATGATCCAAAGGTACAGCAGTCACACCCCAAGTCCATTGTGCACATAATTCAGCCTTGCTGCTAGATATATGCACTTGTATTAGGATTTTTATATGTGACTTTACTGTTGATGTTTTAGGAGTACATCCACCGTGTGGGACGAACAGCTCGTGGTATTAATGGTAGAGGACATGCCCTCCTGATCCTAAGACCAGAGGAGCTCGGCTTTTTACGATTCCTCAAACAGGCCAAAGTATGACATCACTATAGTTATGATTTTTTATGATAATGAACTGTCTTTAACTGAAAAATTTGTGTTTACTATTGTCATTTTGCATTATTGACACTATTTTCCTAATTAATGCTGTTCAGTTGCTTTGTCACAATCTGTATTGTTAAAAGCGCTATATAAATAAAGGTGACTTGACTTGACTTGATTTTATATTGGCAAGCTGTTGAACATGTCAAGATGAATTGTCTCTTGTGTTCCTCTAAAGGTTCCTCTGAGTGAGTTTGAGTTCTCCTGGGCTAAAATCTCTGATATTCAATCTCAGGTGAGACTTCATATTCAGTCAAACTGAACTAAATCTCAAACAAAACCCCTTTAATTTCAAAATGGTATTTGCTTTGGTCTTTTGCAGTTAGACAAGCTGATAGAGAAGAACTACTACCTTCACAAATCGGCTCAGGAGGCCTATAAATCCTACGTCAGAGCTTACGACTCTCATTCCCTCAAACAAATCTATAATGTAGAGACGCTAGACCTCCCAAAAGTGGCAATGTCCTTTGGGTTTAAAGTGCCGCCTTTTGTGGACCTCAGTATCCTTTCAGCATTGTATTACAGTGAATATTCTTGCATGTGGAACTTGTTACTTAATAGTTTTAATTTGTTTTAGTGTGAAATTGTGGAGTTGTGGTTGTACATTCATTACCATTTGGAGTCTGTAATAGTCTCTTATGCTTACCAAGGCTGCATTTATTTAAACAAAATTACAGTAAAAACAGTAATATGTAGTATAAAAATAATTCTTTTGTTTTAAAATGTAAATTTCAGCATCATTACTCCAGTCTTACTCTTCAGTTTCACGTGATCCTTCAGAAAACATTCTATTGTGCTGATTTGGTGCTTGAGAATCATTTTTTTTTGTTCCTTAACCGTTCACTCTCTCAGACGTTCACAGCAGTAAAGGGGTGAAGATGCAGAAGCGAGGTGGTGGTGGAGGCTTTGGCTACCAGAAATCTAAGAATGTCCACAAGGCCAAGATCTTCAAACATGTCAGCAAAAGGAAAGGAGACGGCAGACAGTTCTCACGCTGAGAATAAGATGAATCTTCCCTGTGATGCACCTCTTTTGATCTATACAGAGTAACTGTCAGACTACACACTTGTCAATTTGTTAACTTGGTCTCAGTCTTTTGAGAAGAGCTCTGATCAGTCTGCATTCCATGCCTGTACAGAATTCTGTTTTCAGAAGCCATTATATAATGCTTAATTTCTATTGTTACTGGCCCAACTCATTAAACTTATATTATTAATAATTCTTCTCATGCTGTCTGCTCTCTCCACATGAGATTGAACCTACAACCTTAGTAGCAACTAGGGCTGGGCAATACAATTTTTTACATTTTTAAAATTGCTCCTAGAGTGATTTGTTAAATTAAAATAAATATTGTAAAACGTAGTTAAAACTGTAGACATTTTCCATACTGTTTCACCGAAAGAAAAGATTGAATAATTTTTTTTATTCACCAATATAAAAATAAACAATGCTTACTTTCTTGCGAAAACATTTATAAACCCTTAAAATGCTACACAAATATTGTTGTGATGCAAAAGGAATTGACAGACCAATTGGTAACCAATGAACTGAACTTCCCACATATTTTGGCATTTTAATGAGGTTTAAATCCTTAAAACCAGCACATTAACGTCACAGCCATGAGGTTGGTTCATTTTATATTAAATATTTTGTTAAATTTGTAAATATTATATATTGTCCAGTCCTAGTAGCCATAGGCTACCATCTTTAAAATGTGCAGAATTGTAAATCTCAGTTGTAATGTTATTCACAGGTCGAGGCAATCTATGAACTGAAGAGCCAGTAAGATGCCAGGTTGTTTCTACTATGATTGTATCATATGTGAGTCTTCGCTAATCTGAAACCACTATAGTAAATAAATCTGTCAGATCAACAGGCAGTTAATTTTTCCTTTAATATGCTTTGGTCTTATGGCAAATTTTTATCATGATATCAAAACAAAGGTGATTAGTAAGGGAATTTGTGTTATATACATTATGGGTTTAAATAAGGTGGCAACAAGGCACAAAACATTTCCAGTTAAACTACATTAGTTACATGCTTTACAGTCTCTGAACCTAAAACAATCTAGGCTGACAAGCATACTGAACAGCAGAGGTTTAGTCTGAAAGCAGATGTGATCTCAGCATGAGGCTGTAATACAATGAAATACCACCATCAGGGAATGCGAGTGTGTTTTGAAGTGCTACTTGGGAGTTGTGTATTAAAGGGGTGTGTGTGCAAATCCCGCTGTTATGACGCTCCCTTTGCCCTCAGTTTAGATAACAGCATCTCATTCTTGCGGCACTCCTGGAACAGACATGACATGCATTTGTTTCCTCAATCCAGAATATCAATTATCAATAGATTAATGTCTATACACCCCCTATGTAAAGGAGGAGGGAAGAAATTAATCTAAAACTGAACCTTGTGTGAGCATTTACCTCTTTAAAGTCTTTGACAGTTTTAAAGTAGAGCCTCTGTTTATCCAGCAGCTCCAAGTACTCATCATTCAGCTGATCTCTGCGCATCTTATTCTCCTGTCTTTTCTTTTCCATCTTCAAGTGCACAAATAGACATTAGAAAAACACTAATGCAATTCATGTTCCTGTCTGAGGGGGTAAAACCACAAATAGCCAGAGTGGAACTAATTCATTAGCAAAATGGAAGTAATTATCAATAATATCAGATTTCCTCAATTATATATGTGACCCTGGACCACAAAACCAATCATAAGGGTCAATTTTTCGAAATTGAGATTTATACATACATCAAGCTTATTTATTCAGCTTTCCATTGATGTATGGTTTGTTAGGATAGGACGATATTTGGCCGAGATACTATTTAAAAATCTGGAATCTGAGGGTGCAAAAAAAATCTAAATATTGAGAAAATCACCTTTAAAGTTGTACAAATGAAGTCTTAGCAATGCATATTACTAATCAAAAATTAAGTTTTGATATATTTACAGTAGGTAATTTACAAAATATCTTAATGGAAACATGATCTTTACTTAATATCCTATATCCAAAGTCTATATCTATATAATAGACAAAAAAGAAAAATCAATAATTTTGACCCATACAATGTATTTTTGGCTATTGCTACAAATATACCCCAGCGACTTAACACTAGTTTTGTGGTCCAGGGTCACATATAAGGTTGTAGTCTGGTTTTGTACCTTCATGCGGCTCTGCTTGATTCCTTCCACAATCTGCTCCATTTGTCTGAGAAACTGTTCTTTACTTCCCGATGAAGCCATGGCCCTAAAACCACACACACTTTTCATTCACCTGTGCCTTCAGGAAAGACATTACAAAATCAATCATATGAGACTGTATGAAGCTCTTGCTGTAGTATTGGGAAATTTCTACATGGATCCTACTTGAAACTCACTGCTGAAAATGATCGTGTATGGAGTTCAGCAAATTGACCTGTGAAAGAAAAGATAGCGTCTCATTTCCACTGCACATCCTTTTAAACATTACACACTGAAGATTATAGAGTCTGATTCCATCCATAAATACAAGAAAATTCATTCCCAATAGCAAAGCTAAACAAATCTGATACCTCTTTCTCCAGGTAAACCTTCTTGTCATCAAGGGTGTTGTAGAGCGTGAAGAACTGTTTTGTCTCTTTGTGTGTTGCAGACACTGAAAAACACCAAATGAACAATTAAAGAGTGCTTAAAGTGACGGCTTTGATTTCAGCTCATTCAATTGGATCTATTTTATAGCCAACACCGTAAAGTTAAGTAATAGAAGCAGTGAGTGATCTTTTCTTTTGTATCGTGACATACATCAGAGTAAAACAGATTATTGAGAAAGAAAATAATGTAAAGCAGGGTCTTTGTTCAATTTATCTGATTGTGAGCTTGAGGTCAATTGTACGAAAGGGGAGATTAAGCAGACTTAAAGACTGCAGAAGTCTGGCATATATCACCAGTGAAGTCTGCCGTTTCACCGGAAGATCAAGTTATAATTAAAAATTATGAGGTGTTAATTTTTTTTTTAAATAGATGCTGACTTTAAACAGCACGGACCTTGGCTGTACAGCTCAATGAAGCGTTTCTGATACTGGGTCAGCTCGGCTCTGCTGGGAACCTCGTCAATCTTTCTCTGAAGGATGGCAATCTCACGGTTCCTCCGAGCCTGCAGGGGGCAGCAGAGTAAAACTGAGTATAAAGAATCTCTTGAGTAATACCATCAGTTCAATTTGACCTACCAGAAGCAGACGGATCTTCTGAAGTTTTTCTCGGTCTGCAGTGTACTGCTGGTCAATCAATATATTCATCTCCTACAAATACACATGCAGAGGGTAAATCTGAGAAACTAAACTAGACCGTCACAGACCAGCCCTGTTCCAAAACCTTGGCACATTCCCATTAAGAGGATTGTTTCAAAAGGTAGGCTACCTTCGAAGACATCTACTTTTGGTCAAATTACTAAGGCAGCACTGGGAACAGGAAATAAAGAGTTAAATTTAAAAAAGTGTGTCAAAGATAGTGGACAATGTGAGGTATTGCTAAATAAAATTATTTTTGGGGGGTTTTTGTCTAATATTTTTTGTATTCTATGTACTTTTATGCTTATTATGCCATTAGCATAGTGGCATCCTAATACCAGGCAGTGTTGCTGCCTATGAAGAGCATTCCAAATCAGTCACATATGAAGTTCCATTTCAGTTAGAATGACTATATAGGCACCTTCTTCTCATCTCCTTCTTCTCCATACTCCAGCTTCAACTCTTCAATATTCTGCTGCAGACGGGTCATTTCCTCCTATACACAAATAACCGTTAATGATACATTCATGTCTTCAGTGTTACTGACAAACCGAAGCAAGGTATTGCAACAATAAAGTTGTCACAGTAACATACGCGACAATGTGAGCGGAACGTTTGCTCTTGATGTTTGAGGTTTTCATTCATGGCCACCAATGCACGAAGCTTCTCCAGCAACCTGAAAGATAAAAACAAACAATACTTCAAAATAACACATGGATGCTGACACTTCCTAAGAATTCTCATGCTGTTTGGCTTTACTTTTTCTCATCTGATTTCTATACAGTTTGGTGTTCGCGTGATGCCAAGCTGATGGCACTATGCTCTAATAAGCGTACCATACCCAAGCAAATAGTCCGTTTCTAATTAGACAGAACTATGTAACCCACATTTACTGTTGTTCTGTGAACTTTCCAGACGAAATGCAGTCATTTCAATAGGAATCCATGCAATCAGGAATTTTGTGTGTGAGGGCGAAAGATTTCCCCACCCGGTTTTTGCGTTGGTTTAGTTGTTCATACGAATTTGCAACACTGACCAACAGAAAGCTGAATGGTCTACAAGTGACTTCTGTGTGAGCGAGCGGTGCTTCATACATTCGCTACACTACTGTAGCAGACCTTTGAAGTGGACGTTTTTTGCCCACAACATTTTTACTAACGTGGCCATGCCTTTAGAATTTGGCCAGAACATGGTCTCTTACCTACCTTTTGGAAGTGCCTTCATGTCAGGAATGTTTAAAATGCTGTCTAACTAGAGAGCTCACTGAGTTTAGAATTAAGTGTCTTGTCTAAAATGACTTGGAAAAATATGGCTGCCTTCAATTATGCATACTTCCCTACTATATAGCAGGAAGTAAGTACTTATTCAAAAGAGGAACCTACTCAGAGAGTAAGCCATTTCAGATGCAGCCTAAGTTTACATACCCAGAATCCGTCTGAGACTCCATGTCCTCCAGTGAGCTCAGCTCTCTCTCCAGCTTTTCAGTCTGTGCTGTGGCCTAAAAACAAACACAAACATTAATGGTCCAATTCAACCAGTTATCTGTCAGTATATGTCTGTCCACTTGTTTCACCTCGGCTAGTTTGATTTTAGCATCCTCACGGGCCGCTCTGGCCTCCTGCTGTTTGGATTGCAGCTGGAATAAATCAAGGAACAATGACTGTGATATCAGCATTCTCAAAACTGCAATATGTGGTATGTGTATGACTGTGCTTTACATCTTCCAGTTCTTTTGTTTTTTGAGTGATTTGTTTGTTGAGTGACGTCAGTTGCCGCCGGTGTTGCTGCGCAGGTCCAAATCTCTCTGGCCGATCCTCCACAGAGCGCTCCGCCTGCCCAATCACACATACGTACAATAAAGCTTCGAATACACTACACAACTAAAAATGTAAATTCCAATTCCAAAAATGTATATCAGCCTCAAGCAATTTTTCTTGGTGTAAAAATAAAGGGACTATTTCTTAGAGGTTCAGTGAAGTTTTCACGCTGTTCACCTTCTCGGCATATTCAGTGGCAATTTGCTTGATCTCCTCAGACTGCAGTCCAACAATCTGCCCCACTGTGCTGGCTGACAACTTCCCCTACAAAACACACACACAGAAATAGTGTAAATAATGAGACCACTGACTGTTTATATAAAGTTTGCCTTAATAAGAAGGCATCTGCTGAGGACATTCAAGTAAATAATCAACTTTTAAAAGGAAAGTTAAAAATGGTCATCATTTATTCAACTGCATGTCATTCTGACCATAAACTTTTTTCATTTTAATTTTTGGCCAAAATATTCCTTTAGAGGGACATTCTAGCTAAAAGTGTAAATTATGTGATCGTTTACTCATACACATGTCGTTCCATCACTTTATTTAGCATTTTGTCAGTCACAAAGGTCTAGAACAACAAGAGGGTAAGAATTTAAAGAATTTTTTTGGTGAACCATCCCTTTAAACTCTTTTGCATTTTAAGCATTTAGAAATGTACCTCCTCTGTTGCCATCGCAGCCATTCCAGTCATCAGGGCTTTGATTCTGAGCTGTAAAAAAAAAAATCACAGAATTGATTGGTTAATAGAAAATTAACTTGGGTCAGATAAAGAGTGGGTGATTAAGTACAACTGAGAGTTGACTGAAGGATACGTGTAGGTTCATATGATCATACTGACCTCCTCTGCTGCCTGCAGGTCCTCCTCTTCAGACACCTGAGCCATTCCAGGAGGCACACCCTGTGTGCCCTGAGCCAACACCTGCTTCTGCTCCACTGCCTGTTAGAAACAACATCACATGATCAAACTAACAACCAATCTAAAAGAACAAAGGT